TGATAAGATGTGAAAGTATCCTTCTTATTTGGTACGTTACCACTACTAATATGCAAACCTTAGTACTTCTAGCATTCTATTTGAATCGTTGTTTTAAACGTTCCAATGATCTCCGAAAATCTCGCGTGTGGTTCCGACTGCTAACTGCCCGATTTCGTTTCTTTTTAATGAATTTCGTGAAATGCTGATCGAAGCAATTTTCTTTCCAATACTAGAGATGATTTTTTGTTACCTACAATTCTCCAAAGTCAACAACGATATCGAAGAATACACCTTCAATATGTATTGCCTATTCTGTAGCCAACTTTGATAATTGATCCATGTCAAAAAACATCAAGACTTCTGTGCGTGAGTGTATCCTGCTCATCTTTTCATACAATAGCCATAAATACTTCAGAATGAATTATATATACTCAAAAAAAACGATGCAGAACAGAAGTCACTCACATAGGTAGTGAAGAATAACATCCATCGAAGTAGGTGATTGATCAGGTCGCTCATGTAACGATGATACCTCAAAACCTCTTGCTGTTGCTCACACTACTTACATTTCGAGAGGTGAAAAATGGACAGGATGTAGGAAGCCTCTATTGCAATTCTGTGGAAATCTCGACTCCTGAAGTGCAGTAGTGGTCGATCAATTGACACCACATGCATTGTGCTACATTATTTCTGCTAAACTAATCCTTGTACTGTAATTTTCAATTCCTGTGTTGACTTGGTTGTTGTGTGGAGATAGGACGGTCAGAAATTTTAGATCTTTGTCGTAATATATGATTCAAACATACAAAATGATAGTAAAGTGATTATTAAAACGATTTATTCATTTATTGCTATGAATGAAGGTTAATTGTACTAAATACAGGAAATGATGTAAATGTAGATATATAAGGTCAGAATATGGATAAATGTAAATAAGATATTATGCTAGTGTTCTACAACAATGTGAATTATGCCCCTTCTTCAACACCTGGTTTTCCCTTAAGTACTGCGAAGACTTTGAGAATGCATTGACGCTGCTCTTACTCCGATGACCTCATTGAAAAGGTAATAACCTTATATATTACCTTATTATAATGGCGTAATTTCAACTTTACATTTCTTTTAAAGTTATTGGAAGACTCCAATCAAAAATATATATTCTGCAATATGTAGATTTTAGGGTTCTCGTAGGTAGGATTTTCAGTATGATCCGAACTAGATATTGATAGAACTCGCATTCATCATTTTGTGGAACACTTCTTCGAAAATAGTGCAGCTTCTTCACCTAATTTTTTGTTTTCAGTGATGTTGTAAATTCTATCATAAAAATATTCAGCAGTCAATGGTTTACAGAATCAATATCAGCTCACGAAAAATCACCTTTGTTCATACATTAGCCCTGTTCACCAATCTACCCTTGTTACTTTGATTGATCTATCGTACTATCGAAAAATAATTATACCTACTCTTTCATCTGACTATGAGTAGTTATTCCACTACTTGAGGAACGGATATTTAAAAACTGAGCTTGGTTTTGTGAAAAGCCATCCTAGCGCAGCTCACCGAAGTGGGTTGTACTCCGTACCTGTGAAGTAGCAAATTCGATGCCTGAACTTCACAGCAAGCTATGTTGGCAGTTATACTCCAATGTTGAAATGTCAGACATACTCTTAGTGTTATAGATTACAAAATATCACTGAAGTGACCTTTCAACAGGTTTTTTTTCCAGGGAGAAGAACTCTTATGCCTCCTGACAACCCACTTTTCTAAAAGAAAAACATCATCTGTAAAAATAAATACATTCTATACTGTGATTGTGTATTTATGTCGCTCATCTTGTTGAGATGAGAGCTTGTTTTTTCACTTAAAATTCTTTTGATCTTTACAGAAAAGACTGTTTTACAGCCGGGTTACTCACATCGACAAGTACACTATGTAGAAGTCGACTGGTTTCTTGCACCTGAGTCTTTCGTTTCGCTGAAAACCCTCCCATCGTCGTCAAAGAGTGGAGCATGATTCTGGGCGGCGGTATCTTCGTTGACTACTCACTGAATACCTCGTTGAACGTCTATTTGACGTGACTGGGCACGATGCAGCACAGCATTAACCGTAATTCAAAGTTTCTCTTTCTTTGGAGCTTGAGAAAATAAAGCAGACTCGTATTTCCTTAGTCAACCATTACTGAAAGCACACCTGTGATGACAGTGAATGCTGAGTGATAACACGAGCAAAGGAAAGGTGCGCAATACTCATCAGTTTTCCTAAAAACTCCTGCAGCCCTTCGTTCAATAAAATTTGACTCTTCTTTGGTTTATGAACTATATATAGCCATCAGAAAGCAGCGAAGTATATGTATTCGAACTGTCAAATGGAGAAGCACGCTCACGGAATGCAGGGGGCAGGCCAGGCTTGTGCTTTAATGAGGAACAACTCCACCGGCACGCAGATGATCACACTGAAATTATTTTGAGCGAGTGGCACTTGAAAGTGGTACAGGTTCGCCCTGTGGGCAATAAACTAAAAGGAAGTACAACTCAGAAAATAAGTGGCATGTTCAGTGGCAATGATTGATAAGTAATGCTCGTAGTGCTGTGTAAATGAATTCATAAGAAACAAATGCGGAAACAACGATAGAATGACGTCTGGTCTATGATTCTATCTAATATTGAACTCCTGATCTACTCTAGTATTTCAAAGAAATATTGAAAGTTATTGATGATTGCTGTTATCGCGTGCAGTATTCATCACTATTTTAGAATAACTATTGAATATTATGTAACTTTCAACCGATGTGATAGTTTTCTGTAGTATACATTAAAAATTCTAGAACTAAAAGATTCATGACATAATTTTCTTCGTACAAGTTATTAAAATTGACCGAATATCAAGTAGTGTTACTGCGTAACATGCTAGTGTTCTTTTTTACATTTGTTTTAATAAGCTTTTATATATTCCAGAAGCATATGAGAGTGTAGCATATATTGTTTTGCATTGCGGTAAAATAAGAAATCTAGAAAACTTCTTGACAGCAAAAAAAAACCCTAATCGTATAATGAGAATCACGCTCCGCTTTGCAACAGATATGGAGATGGGCTGAGTGAATTTGGGTAAAATATCATGTGCGAAACGCCGCATTTGCATTCTGACTGTTCGGAGAAATTCCAGTTCTTGGTCATTAGTAGTCACAAGAAAATAGAGGTGAAGCTCAATATAACTAGAGATTAGGAACATTTATTCCGTAACTTACAATAAACACCACCAGTCACATGTATTGAGCAACTGACGAACACTTTAAAACATCAATAAATCTGCTTTATTAGTGTTTTGAAGTCGTCGATCGAAATTTTGTTCAGACAGTCGCAAGAGATCGATCACGCATCTCTAAGTATACGAATCACGCAAAGTATGGAAAAACAATAATCATGCTAATCGCTCCCCACTTAACCTCTTTCTAATCAAATCGCATCACTCTTGTGGACTTGGGTAATGTATAAAAGACCAAAATAAATCACTTAGTCTAAATTCTTTCTATTTTGACTGCCATTTGCAGTGGTATGATCTTATAGTATACCCAATATGTGGAGTACTGTGCAAAAACGTTTCTGTCAGCCGGGATTCGAACCCAAAAGATCGTCGACGGTTAGCTGCTGGCAGAGAACGCGTTATAGCGTCAACAAGAGTGGTGTGCGAAACGAGCGTCGGTGGTGCAACGGTTAGCAAACGCGCCCGTAAAGAGAGAGTTCTGGGTTCAAAACCCGTCTGACGCATACGTTTTTGCACAGTACTCCACATACTAGGTAAATCACTTAACTTATCGCCTACACAAAGCAGCTCATTATTCGTAGAAGGACCACCAGGATTGTGATCTTGTGGAACGACATAAACGAATTACGTTCGCTGACATGTAGGATGTGGCACAGCTGATGTTAAACGTTCGTAATCAAAAAATAGCCGCATTAAATTATCTTAGAGGCGAGAAGCAAACCAAGTTATAGAAAAAAGTTCAGCAAAGATTCAAAGTTTTGTACTAGTTTGAATTTCGGCGTAAAAAACGTAAATTAATAAACCATATTCAATAATTTTGCGTTTTTACCGGGCGTTGACAAGTACTGTTGTAGAAATAGCATGAAGTGATAAAAATCAATGGCCGTTTGATTTGTTCTTCAGGTTTGTTTCAAAAACAAAAAAGAGCAAAGTGACGAAAGCGATTGGCGATGATGGCTTACTGAAGCATGTCCCAAGCCGTGCATTCAATTTCGTCAAGAACAGCATGAGGCACTCAAATGCATGTTTGGCCATCAGTTTATGAAGTTGAAAATGTTAAAATCCTTACTCGAGGTTTGTACGCTAGGACCAACCTCGGGTATGGTTTTAAACATTCTTGAAAATTTACATTGGATGTTTATTGCGAGGTTTTAGAAACAGTCCATGCCTTGCATCATAACAGTATGTGACAAATCCTCAATACTGCTAATTTTGGCTTCTATATTTTTAACGAGCCGGTCACCAGAATTTCCAGCGATGCTCGCAAACTTTTTTACCTAATTTCGTTCCAAGAGCGTGTCAAAGCCGTTTAAGAGCATCTATGCTAGTGTAACGAGTAGCCGAAACTTTTTTCTTCTTATAGGCCAGACGGAGAAAACAACTGGATCGAGATTCGCCGATTCTGATGAACAAATGCTTTTGCCTCAAGAGCAAAAGCTCGTGACAGATGACAATTGTTGTACGGGCAGAATGCGCAGAAGCCCAGTCTTGTTAAGACGTAAATCCACCGACACCAAAGTGTTGAATACTACAAAGCTCCATTACGCCCTGTAAAACTTGCTGCTGATAGCCGACACCGCTTATTATGCCGTCTCTCTTGATGACGAACAACCGTCTTCTTTCCAATCACGCAGATACCTGCCCAGACCATGAGAGAGATCGGAAAAATGATTGCTGCCTATGGTTTGCTCCACTGCGGGCTTCTGCTGACCTATCTTTAAAGTTGACCTCGATTCTGGCGATAATTGTAAATATTTTTTCGTCTGTAAAAGCTCCTCAATCTCTTCAGTCTCTTTGCAGTGTTTCACGGCTCTGTAGACATTTGTTGATGTGAAACATTGAACTGACATTATCGATCGTTTTCATTCCCATTTAGTGCAATTCAACTGCTGCAACACGTTGATTTTTACGATACATAACGTGAGCATAACCAAAAATAGAGAAATGAACAGAATAGATTTTAGAGCAAAATGAAGGTTAGGCTTCATAAAAATAATCATCATTAGTAAAAACTATTATATGAAAGCTATAATTAGCAAAGTGAAAAATTCCCAAAACTTTTTGTGCTCCTCTATTCGGGTTTTCGTGTAAACTCCTTTGCATTTTGAGGCTTTTGCTGATTCACTTGCAGCTGGTTCAAAGAAAGCAGTTACTCAACAATGTAGCGTCATGATCATGATTTGTAACCATTTGCTGGGCAAGGATTGAATGCCTTTCACTCAGTGCGAATAAGGCTGCAGATCAAAGAGGTCGGTGAAGTGACCTTTGAGCTAACTGAAATTTTCAACCTTTTCTTCTCACAGATGCTGCTTCAAGGAGTGGGAGATATGGCAGAGTGATAGAGCAATGTAAGAGGTATAGAGTTGATGTGGTATACGCATGATTTCATATATTCATATGTACTACACGTCGACATGAGTAAGCCCACCTCTTATGGTGGCCACTATGGCTACTTTCCTATCTCGGTTCCTTTCGTTCCTATGAGCGATGAATATATCCTTTCACTGTTATTTGAGCCAACATGTCATCTGGTCTGGTAAGGGCTCTTGTACAGCCCGAGACACGTGTTTCGTCCTTACAGACTCTCCAGCCAGGCAAAAACGCGTCGTCTGCCGATCTTTTTAGTCAGTTCTCTCGGAAGCCTTACACTCCTTATATATAGTTGTCGACGACGTACGCTTTACACTCTATGTCAGGTGGAGCATTCACCTAACCAACTAGCAATCGAGTGCGAAACACTCTGTGTTTGGTATTGAATTTGAGCGTGGTCTTAATAAAGCACTCGAAGGAAAGGTATAGTATGACAAAAATACCAGCCAACTAGCAATCGAGTACGAAAACACTCTGTGTTAGAACCAACTAGCAATCGGGTGCGAAAACACTCTGTGTTCGGTATTGAAATTTGAGCGTGGTCTTAATAAGCACTCGAAGGAAAGGTATAATATGACAAAAATACCAGCCAACTAGCAATCGAGTACGAAAACACTCTGTGTTAGGTGAATGCTCCACTTGACATAGAGTGTAAAGCGTACGTCGTCGACAACTATATATAAGGAGTGTAAGGCTCCCGAGAGAACTGACTATGAAAGATCGACAGACGACGGGTTTCTGCCCGGCTGATGAGTCTGTATGGACGAAACACGTGTCTCGGGCTGTACAAGAGCCCTTACGAGACCACATGACATGTTGGCTCAAATAATAATGAAAGGATCCATTGAATTTGAGCGTGGTCTTAATAAAGCACTCGAAGGAAAGGTACAAGCGATGAATATGCTTTTTTCAATACGCATTTTTGCTTGAATAGGACGATGATTTGGCTGGGTGCGAAAATGGTTTCAGCATTGGGAAACATGTGCTTTAGTTGGCAGAGATGTCACCGATCTTTGTATAAGCTTTACCGTTTAAGTATGAAGTCCGCTAACGTAATATTCATTCTTGAGAAAGGATTTTTTTATTATTCACATCCTATCTGTATGACCTAACACCACATATACTGTGCGGATTCCAAAACTTCCTTCACTTGAATCGCTTCCGCGCGTTCATCCTCCAAAGGGTCTTCAAATATTTTGCGAATTTATTGGGTCGCTGCTTGAGACTTTGATCTTCTCTATGAATAACTGGGACTGACAGGACTAGACGCATCTCCTAGTGATCCTGGAAATAGGCGAGCTGAGGCGTTTTCTGAAGTATTCACGTCTTGAGCGCAGGATTGTTGTAAGAGAATTCGAACTTGCTTATTACCATACTTCCTAATTTCAGTTTTGTCTGATTGTATCAAATATCAAGACGTTTTAGCTCCATCGTAGCAGCGGATGTTCTTAGATATCTGAAAGTTGCGTAGAACACAAGTTCACCACCTTTGAGTATCATTTACTGGGAGTGGGTGTGACGTAATTGAGAAGTCCACCTGATAGTAATTAAATGTGGTGGAACCGCCGAACTGGTAGAAAGCTAGTAGCATAATGGTGAATCTCCTTATTCGAAATATTTACTCAAGCGACCATATTGAAAGGTACTATCTAAGTTGTCTGGGGATTTTAGGAAGATATAAATAATTATTCAAATAACCGACGTGAAGCACCTCGCTGGACTACGTGTCATTCGTTCGAAACGAATCCAGTCTTCGAATTCTGAGATAATATACATCGAAAACGAAGCACACGGATCAATCATATAATGAGAAGTCTGACAACGGATAATAAGGACACTTTGAAAGTGGACTGTAAAAGATGCTGCCTCTAGGAAAACTTCTCGAAAAGGTGCATAAATGAGATAGCTGTTACAGCCAAACTATGTATTGACAAAATGATGGATCTCGCCGACTTCAACTTTAACGAAGCAAAATTACTATCATGGGCGGTGATCGCACGAGAACGATACGACTGAAGGATTTCGCGCTGTCCGTAGAGACGAGCCATCCAACTATCCAACTTAGACTGTGAAAAATCAAATCCCCTACTAGGCACACATAACTAACAAACGCATAAAAGGCAAAATTTAGCGTTATATTTACCGTGTTTGCACAGGAATCAAGAACATCCGCGCTCAAAACTTTGGAAGCCTTTTGGATACATAGTAAAGGCTCAGAAATGAACCGCAAAGAGGAGTGCCTCGTAATAACGCGTGACCTCGCACCATACTTCAGGCTAACCTTCCCGGTCTGAGCCAGGCACAGTCTCGCTTACGCACTGACTTTAAGTGGCACGTTTTCTTCTAAAGTAATGGATGGTTTTGCCTGAATGCTATGCGAATCATTTTGACCTTTCAAGGCTCTTAAGACGGTGAACTTCGCCAAAACGTAAGCCCCACGATTGGTGTGCTAATTATGCTGCATTACTTCACTGTATTGCATTGCATCACTAGTACTCAATGAATACTACCTTCAACACTCGGTCTGATATACAGAAGACATCAGTGATCAATTCCAACTATGCCGAGGTTAATGAATAGTCGGTTCAAAGGTTCACAGAGTCAACACGCTTATTTCCTTGTCTTCCAATTAATAGACATTCAGCATGCATGGTTTGATATCTTTGTCCATCTCAAGTTCATAGTTACTTTTCCTACTTTCCTTTGTTTAGTATTTATGTAAGTGATCGTTCTTATATCCATAATTCCTTAAATGTGAGCTGCCTCTACATATTCATCTAACTTCTCATTCACAAAGTAAAGTCGAATGCTGAATCACGGAGATCCTCACGCTAAGTTGTACAATTCGTAACAAGCTGATGTATGGAGTCAACGCTACAAATCTCACACAATAATCGAGTCTTTGTATATGATTTTAATCCGTACATGCATTAGTACCTTGGTGTTGTTAATTGTGTTATAGTTGTCAACATAAAGGTTTAACTACCCAAGTTTGAGTTGTGAAGTTCACACATTTCTCCTTTAAGAGCAGTTTCCACTTCATCGCATTTCACTCCTTACACATTCACGGAGAATCTGGCTTTTCTACAAAGTATAAAAATCTTCCAGTGCTAAAGTACTTCAGGACTTAGTT